CCTCTTGATTCTATCGAGAATCCAACGAGCTACCACTTTCCTTCTTTGTTCCCTCCATCTCGGCGCACTAACCTTTTAACTAACCAACTCTTTCTACTAAATTTATTCATAAACTAACTCAATATTCGTGTTCGCCGACCCTCAGAACCTCCGAAACGGCTCCTCCCTCGTTCGTTTCTGTTCAGCGTCGGGGGAGAAATCTCCACTTTCTGTTCGGCCATATCCAACCCCTTCGCTCTCCTCCGCGCACTACTACTTCCTACTAACTCCAGTATCACTCACTCTCTACTAGATCTGACCACGAAATTGGATTCGCCAGGGCCAAAAACCTCCGAGACAGTTCCTCCCCCACCGAAATCCATCCACTAACAAGTAAACAATGCGTTTCTCTTCTCCCTCCATTCCTCTCCCGCCATAGCCCCGACACACTGTCTTTCCTTTCTTACTCCTATTCTACTGATCTAACACTAAACTTAACAACGGATTCGAGTCCGTCGGCCAAGAAGACCCCGACCTAGGTTCTTACCTCGCCCGATTACATTAGGAATCGAGCGAGTAGTACACCTCCCACTGCGCCCTGCCTTCGCCCCACCATCGTTTTTCTTCACGCGCATGCACCCCGTGCGCACTCCCGTCTCGATTCATCTGCACCCACCCCTTCTCTGTGTTTTCCCTTTCCGCTCGGCTCCTCGCTGTTCCCCTCGGCCCGAAAGCGCTTCCTAATGCATTCTCTTGTCCGGGTTCTGCCCGACCTTCTTACTTTCCCCTCCTGGCTCGCGTACCTCCTCTTGTTTTCGTAGCCCGCCCCCTTCCTTTGCTGCTACCGCCTCCCCTCGCTTGTCACAACCTCCTCCTGCAGCCGCATATAGCTGGCCGCTGCATGCATCCGGCCGCAATCTGTGTCCGGTCCAATCGGGACTCCTCTACGCGCTTAGCGGCTTCCCTAGTGCCAACGCCTGGTAACATAGTGGCCTGCCCGATGGCCTCCGCTTCCGAGGGAGACTGCCATAGGAGTTGGCTACCCTGCCAGCTCGGTTAGTCCTCCGCCCCTAGGCCTGACTCCAGCTATCGATTTGCCTGGGCCGGCTCCTGCGCGGTGCCTTATGAACCCATGCGGTCCATCGGGCCCAAGGCCCATACTCATACTCACGTTTCTTAACAGACTCTCGGCAGGTGGACATTGCACTCACAGTAAGCATCGCCACCTCACCGGCCGCAGCCCCACAGTCCCATTTGGAATGTTTCCTCCCATTCCCTTCGATACTATTGACGCCCTCCAAGTAGAAAGCGAGGGAGGCCACAACTACGGACCTCACCACTTTTCACCCGCCGACCTTTTCGGTCCGTTTCCCAAGCCGTGCGGGGCAGGGGAATTCCGCCAACCCCCGACACGTCGGAACCCGGACGGGCTTGCTAAGAGGGGGCGCGCGCTCGAGGTCTTTGACCGCCGCGACGACCTCCAACTCTGGCGTCGCGCATGAGTCAGATGGTACTAAAGCAAAAATAATAATACGGCTGAAATTAAACTATTCAGAACTTTTAATTGTCAAAGTATGACGAAACGAGGAAAACGAAAATGTTAGCCTGGTCCTAACGCTGCCGACGGCAAAACCAAGGGGGATAGCCCCGCCGGGCCCTCGACCCCTCGGTCCCTTCGGGCCACTCTGATAGTCCCACATTGTCGCCGCTCAGCCTCGATCCCTAGATCTCCCTGATAAAAGTTCGACGCTGTAACCAATAATGCTAGGCCCGAGTCTGGGTCGGATTCTGACGGACGCCTAAATAAAACAGACACTGCGCGACACGCCGCCCTACCGAAATGCTTTCAGAAGCCACACTCTTGTCGACGCCGTCCTCCACGCCTGCGCGCTCGCCTCGGTCAAACGTACCAATCAAAAGAAAATATCCCTCATTCCTGCTTAATTAAAAATAAATAAATATTAATAATATCTTTAACCAAAACGACTGATACCAGTGTCAGCTCTACGATCAACAACAAAGGCGAATCACGCGCGCCTTAAATCTGCGCGCCCACACACTCTCTACTGTAGTCAACCATTCAGTCAACGTAACTCACAAATGCAGCCGCGCCTAGCATGGTATACTTAAACTTCAAACCAAATTATTCCTGTCGCTTGCAAAAACCCAGGGCGGATACCCTTGTAAGGGTATTCGCACCGACAGCTTACCGGACTACATTAAGCGACGTCCCCGTCGCTTCGCTAAATCAGAAAGCTATAACTTCATCCACATTCCAAATGCTGACGAAACAGGAGCTAATCCGATTAGCCGAAAAAACATAGGGTAGAGGCCTCCATCAAAACATGCCTCCACAACTATATGCTGCCAGATTTCTAACCTGGGCCTCTCACCGCCCAGAAATTAAGACGCTGACCGCATAAGTTCCAAAGACCTTCCCAGTCGTCCTCTCCCCGGTCCTAGACAACCTTCGGCTTTTCGTTGGGTGTCCCTAGTCCTGACAAAAACAAGGGACGCGGGCCTTAATCGGGACCTTTTGAAGGCGCTCTCGCCTTCCTTCTCAAAATCTTTCGCAATCAAATACACGTAAGTATATATATATACTTAATATCCGCTCAACTCTTTCTGCGGTCTAGTACAGAAAGGCTAGGTCTCCACCTTGGCCCACCATAGCCTGGCTGATCGGACCAGGACCACGGCCCACCGCATTGTTATTTAGCAGTAGTACTCTCGTTGGTTACGCAACGATAGGTTTTCTCTTGATAAGCATTCAATCAGGATTTCCCCCAAAAATTTTCAGCCATCACTATCCCGCGGAGTAATTTCACTGGGGCGGGCACCCCCCCTTAAACTCTTACCCACGTGGTCCCGCAGCCAGGTTGCGTCGGCTAGCAGCCATCCAATGGGGTTACGCCCCTAGAGGTACTAACTTCTTTTTCGTTAGGTTGACCTTTCTTCAATATGTCTCAGAATTAGCACCAGTAGTTAGACGGGGGCGTCGCAAAACAAAATCACTAGCCGACTGCGTGATACGCAGGGGTCCAAAGGCATTTACCAACCCTCCCTCAATAGGCATGGCATCCTTCGCACGCTTACAAACAAAATCACCGCTAAATCCACGAGGCCGTGACCCCTGACCAGTTTACTCGCCTTTGAAGGTGAGTCTTCCAACAACAAAAACATTCCCCTTCTCCAAAATCCAGGGGGTTCTCATCATAAAACAAAACACCCCCTCTTCCAAAAATCACGAGGGGTTTCGCCACAGAACAAAACACCCCCTCTTCCAAAATCACGAGGGGTCTCGCCACAGAATAAAACACCCCCTCTTCCAAAATCACGAGGGGTCTCGCCACAGAATAAAACCCCCCCTCTTCCAAAATCACGAGGGGTCTCGCCATAAAACCAAGCTTCCCCTCCTCAAAAACTCGAAAGGGTCTCATCATAACACTCAACATCACAAAACATTCCCTTTTCCAAAATCCAAGGAGGCTTATCATAAAACAAACATCACTGAGAGACCATCTTATGGGTTCTCATCACAACTTAAGCAATCAACAATCAACATGGTAAGTATTTTGAGCCTCTTGGGCTCATAAATCTTCAAAATTCTCTCAACCTTTCACAGACGGGCTGCGCTTCCTTCCCTTATACTCTGCCCTATCAGTTGCCCGTGGGCAGGTCGCACAAGTATACCGAGGAGTAGACAGTTTTGCTTACAATCATATTCACAGTACCCATGATACATAAAAGGTTTTTCACACATTGTCCACACAAACTCATCATACATCAGAGTACAACCACACATGTGAGAGAGACAAGTGATCGTCACATATAAGAATGGTCCCTGAAAAAAAAAAAAAAACTCATCATAATATACACTCAGGGAAATAAAATGTTTCACACAGAAAATGTCTCCAAATCATAGCTCACTCAACTCAAGCCACACCAAACTCACGCTGACAATTATCCCTAAAATACATGTCAGATCTGTCTCTCAAGGCCAGTGCGTAGGCCACCTAAATATGTACATGCCTCATCTAGATCACCCTGATCCTCAAGACTCCAGCTAAGTAGGAACACTAGAGTTCAGATCTAGACTAGTAGCAATCATCAAAAAAGTCCTCTAAGTCTAAGAGGGTATCATACAGAACCTAAGCTGATGCCTCACAAGATATTCGCCCACTTACATAGACAAACCGGCCCTACCTCCTCAACTCCTCCTGGTTTTGCCTATATAACTGAGCCCTAAGTCCATCTGCGGACTTCTCTATTATCCTACCCTGTCTATCATACATCTTACCCCCTGCCTCTGAGACCTTCCCTTCTGCCTTATCCTCAAGGAACTCGAGACTGTCCAGAGCCAGATGCATGTCCCTCTTGTAGTAGAAGCATAGCTGATCAAAACCTTCCTCTTGAACTTTTTCTTCTTGGGCTGAGGAGGTGACGATAAAAGAGATCCTACCAAGGTATTGACAACCCTTTGCTGCTCTGATCGAGGAGTTGCGGTACTAACGACCTCCTGCTGCTCTGTCCCAGGAACCGGTCCCCCAGACCCAGATCCAGTAGCCCAAGATCCCAGTCTGCTCCTCAAATCCCCTGTCGCTGAGACATACTCAGGCGTGTCCAGCCTCTGAGGTCTCCTCTCGAGTGTCTCTCTTAGCAGTGCCATGGGCGGCTCCTCAATCTCTCCGGCCCATATTCAGGCGTGCCCAACCTCTGGAGCCCGCCCTCGATGACACCCTCCGCCTCAATCCCCATCTCTCTCTCAAGAGGTTCCTCTATCCTCTGCTCGGGTGAAAACAAACTCACCTCCTCCTGCATAGTATGCACCGCCTCAAGGAGCACACCCATGGATCCCTCTGCTGAGCCTTGAGCCAGCTCACTGCTAGATGGTGACCGCCCCTCCTCTACTGCCAAAGGTACGACTGGGCCCGCCGCCGCCACTGGCAGCGTCGCGAGCTCGGTAGGGGCTCTGAACTCGAATGCCTCTCCCTCCGCCTGTCTCTAGGCTCTCGCCTCCTCTGGCTCTAGGATAACCCTCCCCATAGGTGGCCCTGGAAAGGCTATGCTGCAGATGGTTGTCCTGGCAATCCCTGTCCTGGCTGCCTCTGCTCGCCCTGCCGACTGCTCTCTGGCTTGTCCGCCTTTCCCTGGGTTTGTTGCCTCAGGCTCTCAATGATAGCTGCCTGGCTGGCCACCAATGCTCTGAGTTCTTGGATTTCCATCTCCATAGCCTCCAGGCGTACTCCATGGCTTGCTTCCTTTATCTTCTTCCCGACCAGATCGCCCTCCAATAACAAGTGCCGGTCAAAAGTTGTCTTGGCCAGGAACTTGATTTTTCGATCCAATCTCCCTTCCGCCTTTCTTGCTACCCCAAACCCGGCTCTGACTGGCGAAGGAAGCTCCTCTCCTCTCTGCTCCCAGAAGTCCCTCCACATCTGAGGGATCTCCGGGGCCCTAGCTGGCGCGCTGGGTGGCTGACCTGGGAGTGCTCCTGCTGCCTCCGATCTCTGCCTCTCCTGCTGCTGCTCCGGAAGCTCCCCCGCTGCCTCCAACCTCCGCCTCTCTTGCCATATCTCGTCTATCCTCCTGGTTCTTCTCGCCCTCTTTTCCTCTGCTGTCTCTCCAGCTGGCGCCCTTTCCCTCGTGCGGAGGTCGACCCTCTTCGGGATCTCTGCCTCCCTCTCCTTCTCAGGCTAGCACGGCTCCTGGCGCTGCTTTGCAGGTGCTGGCTCTTCCAGGTATGGGTGCTCCAGGGCATGAGCTGCTAGGTGTCTGTCAATCAGGGTCAAGGCTTCTCTCCTTACAGCTGCCCTCTCTCTCCTCCTTTCTGCTCTCCCTTCTGGCGAAGGGGCCTTTTCTGATGGAGGCAGTGGGACCTCCTCTCTCTGCAACCTCTCCCCTGCCTGGTGAGTGCTCCCTGGTGCATCCCCGAGTCTCAAACCCACCGCTGACGTCTGTGGGGGCGTGTCCTCTCCAACCTCTATCACTTCCTTCCCTGCACGTCTCCCCTCATCGCCCAACCCTCTCTCTCTCTAAGTATCCTGGACCTCCTCTCGTGGCACCTCCTCTCGTAGCACCTCCTCTCGTGGTACCTCCTCCTGTGGTACCTCCTCTCATGGTACCTCCTTTGCCTGCTCTCCATGCTCCTCACCCCGAGGCGACGCCCTCCACCGAGAGATATCCAAATGTGTCTCCAACTCCCTCAAGGGTCCCTCAGATGCTGGCGGCTCCTCCTGTGTGCGTGTTGGCGACCTCCTCAATCCACCCTCGGTAAACCGATGGAACTCCACTGGTCCCAACACACACTCAGGGTATGCCCCTCGCTCCTCAGCCTCTGGCTCCGGCTCCGGTTCCTCCTCTCTCCTGGCTAGGGCCTTCCGTCCTCCTCGAGATGGTCTCGCCTCTCTGGGCTCAGGATCCCTCTGCCTCTGACTCCTCTGACGCCTCTCAATTCTGGGCTGAGGGGGGTCTGGTCGTCGAAAGGCCTCTCTCAGATGTGCCCTGCAGCTCTCCCAGTCCCGGGCCATGCTTCTAACCTGCCTAGCCAGTGGTCTTTCCGACTTCCTGGTCCAGAGTGGTAATGTCTGCATCCAATCGTCTCTCGGTATACCCTGCCCCTGCATGAACCACTCAAACGTGGGGATGATGTCCGACGTATTTCCAATCTCCAGGCGGATCGGCCTGCCATCAGGCCCCACTGGCGAGGGTCGCAGCTCCTGCATCCTCAACTCCACCTCTAACCTCGTCGTTGCCTCTCTACGGATCCGTGCAACGGGCTCCTCGAATCTGCCAACTCCCCTCAGCCTCTCAATCCTCTGGGTCACAGTCCAACCCATACGCCGCGCATGCTCCCAGAAGCTGTCTAGGAATAGCTCAATATCGCCACCGTCATACTCTGGAGTGCTCTCTCGATGGCGAGGCCCATGTCGCTCATATCCCCATAATGCGCCCAACGGCCTCTGAGGCGGCCGTGTCCCCTTCCCTCCTCTTGGCATGGCTGTCTTCGTAAAGTCAGACCTGCACAACAGGCGAAGGAGACAACAGGCACACATTGGGGTAAGCAAACAGGTGATAATCAAAGCAAGCTCAGACTAGACCACACTCATACAGCATGCATCCTACCTAACCTACACACCCTATTACTTCTATTCTAAAGGCAGTCAGGTCATCTTTCTTACCTCTTCTCTCGCCACAAATTTCTTCAGTCGCATTCCAGATACCCAATCCTTCCACTCAGTCTCATTTAGCTCTTCAATCTGGTATGCTCCGAAGTCTCCAGCCCGTACGATCCAGTAGGGACCTAACCACCTCTTATCGAGTTTCATGGACCACTGCTTCTCCAAAGATGAATCATAGAGGAGTACGACATCCCCAACTGCCAAAGGTACTTTCCTCACCCGCGCAAACTGATCCCATCGAGTCTTATCATCCATTCGGCTTCTCGCCACCTTATCGGACGCCTCCTGGATCCTTTCTTCTATCGCTCTATCTGCCGCGCCCGAATATCGAGCAATTCTTCGAATGACAGGTTAACTTCCAGATCCTGGCGCCTCCATGTCTTAAGGAAGCTCTCAAAAGGGAAGGTGGCGTGCCTTCCATACCACAGCGTCGCCGGTGCATACTTGGTGGACCTTTTTACTGTAATGTTCTCGACAAAGAACGTCGCCCTTAGGTATCTTGGCCATTGATTAGGCCTACCTTCGGTCCACTTAGCTAGGAGGCTCGTAATGGTACTATGTCCTCTCTCCACGGGAGCATTTGCCTGGGGGTACGCGGCCGTGGTGTAATTGGTTGCCACACCATACCTTGATAATAGTTCTTGCACCTCCTGGCAGGTAAACTCTGGTCCCCCGTCCATTACGAATTCCCTGACGAAAGGATAGCGCAGGTAATATTCCTCGATACAGCTCACTAAGAGTAACCCGGTCTTTGTGCGAATAGCACGCCCGTTTACGAAGCCAGACAGGTTATCGCGCGCATCGAAGATATAGTTACAGCCTTGATCCCCAAGCGGCATAAAAAGTAGATCGAGATGCACTACAGCCCCCACCTCTCGCTCTAACCTTGGATGCAGAGGCTCTCCTTGCCTTAAACGGGATCTCTCCTGGCAAGGTACGCAAGATCGGCAGAATTTCCCGACCATGTCCATCATCCTATCCCAGTAGTACAACTCACTTATCTTCGCATACGTGGCTTGTACCCCTCGATGCCCTCCTGCAATGCCATCGTGAAGCGCTGCTCTGACGATTCCTACCGCAGACGACTCTCCTGGGATTCCCCACTTCTCTTCTCACGAAAAGGTGGCCGTCTCGCACTAAGTAGCGCTGCAGCATCCTTTGAGCCCTGTCGCTCGCATCCCTTAGCCGCATTTCGCCGGACAAAAGAAGTCTCAGCTCTGGGTAGATCCCATCATACTCCTCTGCACGAAAGGCCTCCTTAAGCTCCCCCTCCTCGAACTCGTCGTCCTGGCTCTCGGGCACTTCGTCCACATTCCCTATCGGGTTCAGCGATCCTGACTGGTCGAGGCTTTCCTGCAACAACGTGTTGACGAGGAGGTACATTCCTCCTATCAGGTCCTCATGCCGTTCTACCTGGCCTGGTCCTTCCTCAATCGTCCTCATATCCTCCACCAGGCTATGCGAGCTGGCCAGCGCTAACTCCATCATCCACTGAATATCCTTACCACCCCAGGGATCCTCTTCTTCAAAGGGTTCGAGGACTAACTCGGCCCTCCTTTCATACCCATTCGGCGCTTGCCAGATAGGATAGCCTACACAGCTGGGTACTCGCGGCGACCACTTGTTGATGTGGAGACGAACATCTTCTTCCTGATCCAGAAATCCATCAACTGGGGGCGTATTCTCCACCACCTCCCCTTCCTGTTTATCCCAGTTGATCCGACTCAGCCCGTCCGCCCGGTTCTTACTACCAAGAATCCGTTCCAATTCGAAATTGAACATCCAGAAGTACGTCAGCAATCTGGCAACCGTCGGATCCGATGGAACGTAATTCCTTAGAAAGTAGGCCAGGGCGGTCGGATCCACTCTCAAAATAAACCTCCTGCCGAAGATGTAGTTCCTGAAGATTCGCAGACAGTGGAGGACGGCAAGGGTCTCCCTCTTGAACTGAGAGTAGTTCCTCTCGGTCGTACAGAGAGTCCGACTCTCAAATCTCAAGGGTCTTTCCTTTCCCTCTATGTCTGCCTGGATTAGAACTCCTCCTAAGGCAGTTGGCCCCACATCTGTTTCGACAATGAAGGGTYGTGTTTCTGTGGCATCATAATCTGGCGCTCCTAACACCAACCCTCCTTCTCGAAATTCCTCCTTCATTCTGGCCACCACCTCTTCTTGCTCTTCACCCTAAACCCATTCCTATTCCTGACGGACTAACTTCCTCAGGTGTTTAGTCTTAGCGGCAAAGTTCTTGACGAAGGCCCTCCAAACTCCACATGTCAAGAAAGCTCCTGACATCAGTTATTGAGTGAAACGGAACCGGCCACTCAGTAATCTTGTCCGTTTTCTTCACATCCGGCTTTCGGCCCTTCTCGCTGCAGACGAACCCCAAAATAGTCGCTTCCCTCATGCAGTGTCTGGATTTGGCCCCGCTCGCCGTGAGGTTATGCTCCTCGAGCAGGCTCAGGACTTTTTCGAGGTCCTGGATATGCTTCCAGACAAAGCGCCTCACTCCTGGCGAGACTTCGTCGCTTTCTTTCACTGCCGGCCCCTTCACCGCCAAGTCATCGATGTATGGCTGTGTGATATGGGGGCTGACTAACTGCATAGCCCGAATCATGGCCCGTTGGACCATTGCTACCGCATTGGTCCACCCTTGTGGGGCCACGTTCATGTGGATTAGTCCTCGCAGCGTGTGCATAACCGTCACAACCCTGTTCGGCGGGTAGACTGGGAACTGGTCATATCTTGAGTAAAGGTCTATAAGTGAGATTATAGGCCTTCCAGCACAGGATTCTGACAGCGCGTCTGCATTGGGCAACCCTCCAACATCCCACACGGTCACCGCATTCAGTCTTTGCAAATCCTGCACCCACCGCAGCGTCCCGTTAGGCTTGATAAAGCAGAACCACGGGGACGCATACGGTCCACTCGAATAGTCGGCGACGTGCGTACGTTTTTTGCCGTCGAGGTAATCCACCACCTTCTTTTCCTCGTCAGGATTGGGATATCGCCCTCCTCTCATGTTCCAAGGCTCGTGTGACACGGTATGAATGCGGATCATAAGTATCTTGTCCACATCCAGCCTGCCACGCTCCTCGTCACTGAACGCATAGGCGCGATGCCTCCTTTTCATCAACTCCACCACCAACGCTTGCTCCTGAGGCAGTAGGAAGTCGGGTTCCCCTATAATCAACTTCCCCTCGTTCCCTTCGTTGATACGACATGGCCCTGCTAGAGCACTCTCCCTCATTCGTCGTATCAACCCTCGTTCCCTCTCGTAGTATGTTTCCTCATCTTCTATAACGAGGACGGAAACCGGGCGGCACTTCTTATCTACCGTCTTGTACCGCCTTTGGGAACCCTGCTTGAGCCGCCCCCTAAACAAGGCCGACTCACAGATTGTGCCTGTGCTGATGCGGGGCTCCTCCCGCCGCCCGGAAGCCGATATACCAGCTCCAACCTTCCTGCCTCGGGGCATTCAAGAACTTGCTCCCTCAAAGCTTGGATGGCATCCGGATCCGCCATTTCATGCACGGCCACCAAGTCCATGGCCTTCCTAACATCTGACAGGCTGAGGGAAAATGCCTCCACTTTCTCTTCTCCTTCTGGCTCTGCCCGGAACCTCCGACGCTCACTTTCCGATTCTTCAAGCGTGAAGGATCCTGGATTGGGCCAGTTCCTTATACTCCTCGGTCCTGTGTTCCTGCAGGTAATTATTTCGTAATTCCCGCAGGCAGGGTCGCATAAGAGGAGGATTAACGTCCCGTCATGCTTATTGAATATCACGGTCTCCGTCCTGCTTAGGAATGACCTCCCAGGAGGATTCTATGATCCACGTCCGGCATGATGAAGAAGCAAGTCCGGGCCTTCACCTTTCCAACCTCGATGAGTACATTCGAGGCTGTCACACAAAATACGGCGTTGCAGCTGGCTCCGTGCAGAATACCGCAGTCGGAACGGTCTATATCTAGCCCGAATCTGATCGAGTCCGCCTCCCGAATAATGTTCATCTCTGCCCCGGTGTCCACCATTGCTGCGCACTTGGAACCCTTCACCACCAAATCCACCGTGCCGCAGGCTACGCACTTCCAGTCCATCTTTGTACCTGGCTCCACCCACTCTGCCTCCTTGGGCAGGATCGTACCTAGATAGACATTGGACACCAGGCGCCGCGACAATCTCCCCTTCAGTTCATCGCGGAGTCGCGGGGCCGACGCTAGGATTTCCTTCAGAGTCATGAGGTCATTGTGGCCTTCTAGCAGCCGGTCAATCACTTTCTCCACATCAAACCCCTCCTCCAACTGAACCGCATACTTCTTCCTTTTGGGTGGTCCATCGCGCACGACCGACTCAACCTCTCCCCTGGCTCCCTTTTTCCTTGCCCGCTGCTCCGCTCTCTGATCCTCCTCCCTGCGCAACCTCTCGTCCTCTTCCTCCTCATTGTCGCCATCCTCCACTTCCACAGCCTCCTTTCTTTTTCCCGGCTTCAGCTCCCTCCTTGGAGGCTCTTGGTTGGCGCTGGCTTTGGCTTGACTTCTTATTCGTGCTGCCTGCGCCAACCGGGCCTGCGGAGTGAGGGGTCTCCCCATCATTCCCGATTGTGGGTACGACCCCACCACATTTACTCTGGGTCGCCCAGGTGCTGACTCCGGACCAGAGTCGTAGAGGAACACCTTGGGGATGTTAGACTTCCAGTTCCTCAGTTCCTCACAGAGGCCCACCAACTTCTGTCGGTACCTCCCCATCTTATCCAGCAGGTCCTCCATTTTTTCCAACAAGACGGACGAAAGTTTCATTCTTTCTTCCTCATTTTCGTCATCTGACTTAATGATTATGGGCTCTTCCCCCTTACTTCCTCCTCGTGGCTCTTGAGTCACTTCCTCATCGCTTCCCACTTCCTCTACCCCAATCGGTGGTTCTTCTTTTTTCTGTCATAACCTGAATTCCTCTATCCCCACCGACGGTCCTTTCCTCTCCTGCCATAGCCTGAACATGGTAGGGGGTGGCGGCCCAGCTGCCGCCCTTCGTTGGGCTTCCGCCCTCGCTCCTCCAAGCCTTCTGTCAATGGCCTTCCCAAACTGATCGTAGATGTTCCCATCCATAGTAGAGGAAATCAGCCCGCTCCTCTCGTCTTCCCGTCTTATATTACAGAACCTTATAGTGTGGCCTTGCTGGTCACAATGTTGGCAGATGGTCGTCCTCCAGTCAAAACGGGGTCTTCCATACCCCTGACTTCCCTGATCCCCCCGGCCTTGATACCCCTGGCCTTGGTACCCTTGGCCTTGGTACCCCTGGCCTTGATTCCCTTGGCCTTGGTACCCCTGGCCTTGACCATTGCATTGCCTTCCTCTTCCGCCGCCATTCCTGCCTCGCCCCCTTCCTCCACCCCTCCCTCCGTTGCCTTGATTGCCCTGCCCCTGGTTCCCACCTCCAGCCACACTTCCCTGTGAACTGGGAGTGGGTGACGGTGGCGGGGCCACATGCTGGGACTGGGCTGCGGGGTAGATGGGTGGCGACATACTCGTTTGCGGTCTGGCTACTGGTGGCGGGCTACCCCATGGTACGATTGCATTGATCACCGGTCAGGGCCACTGTCCGTAGGAGGGCGCCCCTCCTTGCGAGGGGCCCGTACTAGATGATGGAGCCGCCACATTCAAAGGGGTTGTTGTCAAGGCCTGAGGCGCCTGCGCTTTTCGTGATCCCTGTCCGTCCTGCGCCAAGTTACGCACTTTGCGTTGGGCCTTCGTCAGGCGCTGCGGCACCGGCTCTTCCTCTTCCCAGAGCTCCTCTTGAATAACCTCCTCTATCACCGGCTTCGTTCCTTTCACTTGGACAGCCGTTACTACCCTCCTTTGCACCACCGGCTCTGTCGCATACCCCAGCTGTGCCAATACGTCTGTAACGATCCTTGTTACCCACGGGGCCCCGGAGGCGGTCGCATCTCTTTCCTTTCTCTTTTGCCTTTGCAGGCGTACCTGACATTGCTCCACCTGGTCCAAACACCCAACTTCCACCCCTCTGTCAATGGTGGCCCAGGTGAGCTTGGTGCTACCCCCTCCATGTCTCGTCAACTCGACGGCCTCCAATGCCGTGAGTAACCCTAGAAAAATGGCGCACTATGCTTCCTCCGAAATCCCATGGACCTTCCGCGCCCTCTTCTTAAATTCTTGAACAAAGGTCCCTATCGTCGTAAAATCTTCTTTGTTCATCGCCTCAAGGTCCGCGGTAGCCAACAACCTGTCACCCAGGCGGTATTTCCTCTGCATCCCCTCCTTGAACCTCTCCCAGCTACCTTGGGCCGCATCTACGACTTTCTTCACTTCCTGGTGGTAGTTGTGGAGGACATACTGAAAAATGCGTTGGAACTTTACAACTTCCGACCGCCCGACCAAAGCTTGTTTCACCCGCTCCAGCCATTCTGAAACCCTCTCCCCACAAAAGTGGAAGGTATCGACTTTAGGGATATTGCTCGGGTTCCTTTCATGCCGGTCAATGACCGCAATGAGGTCATCGAGCGTCAGGCCCTTCTTGGGACCACCCGATGCGCCGCCGCCCTGCGACATCTTGACAAGCTTTTCCCTTCAAGTTCCCTGATAAGAAAGAAAAAACAAGCATACCTCTTTTATTCAGCATCGCACCTTGACCGATCCATTCCATCTGTCCTACCTATCTCTTACTACGTACCTTTACCCAATGCTACACGTTCGTCCTTCATACCTTCCCTTACTCAGGTAGGTAAATTTCCTCACCTATACTTAGTCATCCATTATTTTTCCTCACTTTCTCGTCCTTCCTTTATGCCTTTTCTCGCTCACTTCCCATACCCGGATGTCGTTCCACCAGGGACAACGGTAGGCTTTCCATTATCCCCGGCAACAGCGCCACCTGTCGAGCGCATCGGTCCGGCACTGCACCAGGGCAGCGCGGGACCCTCCCGGCCGCGTCACGCAGGAGTTGATCTAAATCCTTCGTCGCAGATCATACATGTGGAGCTTCCTTAAGCCGCTCCGGCCGAGTGCGCCAGCCATACCTCTCGCGAGCCCCTACGACAGGATAGGGCCTACGCGAGGCACGACTTACCTACACCTTACAGGAGTTGTCACCTCCCTTCGGTGGGCGTATCCCCGCCGAGCTACCAGTCCACAGTACGAAAGCTAATCAGTTGCAATCGCAGAGACGGACCAGCCGAGGGCGTTTCTCGTTCGCTATAGCATAGGGGGTACGCGCGGTAGTACGCCTCCGTCGGACCCGCACGCGAACTGTCATCTTGGGGGGCTGAAGTCCCAAGCGCGATTCGACGTCGGTCGATTAGGACGCATTCCACACACCACGCGCACACCACTCTAACAATCACAAAACAACAACACACACACATGCACGAGACGACACAACACAAACAACGTGACAACGCTCCTA